TGGCCACTTTAAGCAAGGCTGGCTGGGGGATTCTGGGAGTTGAAGTCCACTCATCTTAAAGTGGCCAAGTTTGGACAACACTGGGTTAGGGTCAGGGTTAAGTAGGCAGTGGCCGTGGCTCCTCTTTGCCTCATGAGCAATTACTACTGGCAAATGTCTGGGTTGAAGGTTATGAGTTTGCACGATTCCTTGGACTCTTCTTCCTTTAGCACCTGCAAAGGTTAAATGCCAGCGGAGCTTGTCCATAGCTAGTTGTTTATTTTAATTGCTTACATTTCTAGCCTCCCTTTTGTTCAGGATCTCATGGTAGCAGGCTTACATTCCCTTCTCCCCTTCCACCACAACCCTGTGAGGTAGGTTGGTCTAAGAGGCACTTACTTTTCACAGTTATATAAATCACAGCAGTAACATGTGTTACTTTTCACTTTCAGTTGGCATTTGTTGTTTAAGGCATAGCACGTCACCTGGGTAAAGAGAAGGCAACCGATAATCATTAGTGCCACCCGTTGTGCCAGACTATTGCTGATCCTCTTCTTATGTAGATGAGCAACCAGGAGCCCCTGGAACTAATAAATAAATAAATAAGTAAGTAAGTAAATAAATAAATAAATAAATGCTGCCAAATTTGTTTTGAGGGTGTTTGGACAGGGGTTGTCCTTCAGCAGAACAGAAAGGCCTCCTCTCTGGCCCACAGTCACTCCTTCCACCCCCGCCAACAGGTAATCTTCTCCCAAGACGAGCAAACTTGGATCAAACCAGCCGTGCCCAGCCTACTTACCTAGGTCTCACTAACGCACCAAACATGGCTGATGAAAAGGCAGGGTGGCAGGACAATCTGGATTCTTAGATGCAAAGGGTAGATCGGCCCCTGACATTTCATTCCGCTGGCATTTCTGATCTTGCTAAAGGTCATCCCTTCCTCACCTATCTCGGTTTGAACTGTAACTCCCCATCACATTTCCTGTTATTACCTGGATCGCTGCTACTGTCCCTGAGGACACAATTTATAATACTTACCAACAGCCCAGTAACACACAAAATAAATAGAAAACGCTGTTAATAGAGGCATGTATGTGTGTGCTTTTGAGTTATTTTTGTATCCTGGCAATTGCCTGGACTAGTCCCTGCAGTTTTCTTGGCAAGATTTTTGGAAGTGGTTTGCCATTGCCTCCTTCCTAGGGCTGAGAGAAAATGATTGGCCCAAGGTCACCCAGCTGGCTTTGTCCCTAAGGCAGGAATAGTCTCCCGGTTTCTAGCCTGGTACCTTAACCCAATGTTTCTCAGCCTTGGCAGCTTTCAGATGTGTGGACTCCAACTCCCAGAATTCCCTAGCCAGCCTGCCTGGCTGGGGAATTCTGGGAGTTGGAGTCCACACACCCAAAAGCTGCCAAAGTTGAGAAACACTGCCTTAACCGCTACATCAAACTGGCTGTCAATGAATAAAGATGTTCAGAGATATTTAATGTTTTATTAAGGATAAGGGGCTTCTGATCCACTGAAATCTGTGTGATAATAAGCAATCCAAGGAGAGGTGGGCTCCCCCACTATTGGATGTGTTCAGATGGAGGTTAGACTGCCATCTCAGGGAGGTTTCAAGCTGGATCCTGCCCTGGGCAGGGCTTGCACTGTTCAGTTCTATGATTCTAAGAGTCGATGCCATTACGTAAATTATTATCGTGGACCCTTGAAACTTTTAACCCTTGCTTTTTTGGAAGGAAAATAATGACAGGTGGAATGCAAATGATAATATTTTATTTCACAACTGAATCTTGAGATATAATCATCAACGATGCTGATGAGACGATCCCAAACCCCAGAGAGGCTTCAGGGATGGAGCAAGGATGCAGCTGAGAACCTCACTGGCAGGAGTAACAAGATATGAGGAAGCACTGATGGCTTCTGCTGTTTTATTTAGTTTTTTTTTAAGTCTTCCTATATCAATCAGTGGTAGGGAATAAATGTGGGCCAGCTTTAAGCTGCTCTGAAATTCCCCATCTTCTTTGATCCTTTTTTTTTACATTAATTTCCAACCCTGGAAAACCTGTCCTCATCAACGGGGGGAAGACAGGATAATTTCTCCAGGGACGGAATTTTGCATCTGACTTCTCCTTCTCCTTCAAAACGCCCTTCTTTGCATCTGTTTTTCTTCTGGAATGGATCCAAGATTGGAAGTAGCCTCTGCTTTCAGAAACCCAGCTGGGAAGCAGTAATTGTTTCCAGAGCAATAATGCAGGGAAGACAGAGAGGATTCCATTTCCACCCTGTTAATCCAGACTTGGATCAGAATCCTTCTCCACTTGATACAAATTCAGCAGGGCTGCTGCTAAGCTTGCTCTTGTAAGGTCTAAGGTTCTGCTATTATTAAGCATTACGATTCCTGTAAGTCCCAAGAAACAAAAAGAACAAGCAATGGCACATATCTGGAGCTTTGCAATATGCATAATTTGCATTTCCAGTTTCAGTTCTGCTTTATTTACTTTCTATTATCTCCTACTGCAATCTCCATTTTGCAACACTATCTTTGAAAACGCGACGTATTTCGCAGACACTGCGAAATCAATTCTGTGTAATAAAATAGGAGGCTAATATAATAAACAAAATCAAATTCCATATGAAAAGTTAATAACATAAGTGAATTGCATAGAGACAAGCAAATTAGAATGAATCTATGTAACTGCTTTTCAAAGTTCCCAGGGGTGTCTGCAAGCTATGGTCAAAGAAAGTCACGATGCCAGCTGCAGTGTCCATTCATGGCACATAAAAACAGGCAACACAGCCATCAGATTGTTATAGCCACCACCTTGACTTTTTTGACACCCCTGCAAGATTCAGACAGAGATCGAGAAAATTAAGAGCAATGATGACCAAGCAGGAGGAGGAGGGGAAACAAAAAATGTGAAATAACATCTTCAAAGATGTCCTCTACTTTATTGTCAGACTTCAGGGTTCCTCAGACAACAGCCACTGGCTATCCAGCCATAATGGCTAGAACTTGCCCAGTAACACAAGAAAACTTGGCAATTTTCAGGATGGCAGATTCTGTGCTTTGCACTGGTTTCCATATTTGCAGAGTAATTAAGCATGGAGCAAAAATCTGCCCGGATAAGTAGGAATCCTAAACTGTGGAGTCCTTGGGGTTCTCTGAGCTTGGTTCTTTTCTTGCAAACGTTTCATTACCCGGCTAGGTAACATCTTCAATCCTAAAGCTGCTAGAGACCAAAGTGGCTTTGTACAGGGCCACCAATGTATCTGTGGGGGGGAGACAAATGGTGAAAGTAGCACTCCATCATTGTGATGCAAGCTCCACCCCTTTTGTCCATGCGCCGTGACGCTGCATGCCCATGTAAAGAGGCTTGTAACAGTGGAACCACACCTTCATTGTTGGGGCAAAAGCATCAGATTTCAGTGACCTAATCTATCTACTGCTTGGTTCTTCTAAAATATTTTACCTAGAATTTATTTGGAACTCCTTCATTTGGGGAAGGATTGCTCCCCTTCTCATATAGATTTTAAACAGACATGCAGCTAAATAAATATACATTTATAAATTATATAGCATGCAAATTATATGCATTTTGCATCTGGATATTACAGCAGAAGGGCCCCCATTTCCTCTCCCCACAAATTTTAATTTGAAGCAATATTTAATTATTGGAATCATACTCTGGAACAGGACTTGCAGATTTTCTACCAGACTTTTTTCATTGAAAATAATTAAAATAAAACTTTTAATGACCCATTAAGAGTATAAAAATAAACTTGAAATTCCAAAACCTAAAAAATTACCCCCTTTTTGTAATTTGATTTTTTTTTCTTTGCATGGGTAAGTAGAAGCACTCAGTTTATACCATTTAACCTTCTAGAAATACTTAATATATAGAGGATTCAGAAAATGAATACTAAAAGAGTTAAGGTTGGAGTTAGCTGGGGTATGGAAAGTTGGTGGAAGTTTATGTTAATATGTTCTAGTGTTTATTGTTTATTTGTTGATATCCTTCAGTATTAAGGTCTGTCTACAGAATTTTGAAAATTTCCAGTTCCCAAGAATTCCAATTTTCAGAATCAATATTTGAAAGAGAGAGATAATTTTTTAAAAAATGAAATCAAACTTCAGAAGCAAGATGTTGTCAGAGAATTAAACATCAAAATATGCAGAATTCCTTTGCTTGTTCCAATAGCAGCAAAAGCAGAATAAGTTGTTCAAAGTAAGTGAAAATATGTGAACGTGTTAAAGAAGCCTTAATTTTATTTCTCGGAAAACCACAGTTCATTGAATAGGTTGAGTTTAGATCCTCTCCTGGGCTTCATTTTTTTTTTCCTACATCCTATTTTTGTTTTGTTTACATGGATGCTCTTTTTATTCAATAGGCTGCAAGTGCGCTCTGCAAAAACAAAAAACTCCTGAGTGTAACAGGAACCAAAATGTTGCTTCAGCCCAGGATTGTACATGATTGCTCCTGTCCTTGGCTGGAGACCAAAATGACTCCAGATAGAATCTGCAGACATTCTTGGACTCTGTCAGATCATTACAATTGAAAGTTGCAGTTTGGGGGCCAATATAAACGATCAATTATTAAGGTAACTTGGGTACATCTGACCGAATGTCATTCGGGACAAACATCCTCAGGAAAAAAGCAGTGGCAATTTCCAAGGAACCATTTATGTAACAAGAATGGAATGAACTTTAGTTCCAAGGCAAATATTCTTGCTACGCATACAATAGCATTTCTATGCTGTCGAAGTATAGAAAATAAACCTCCAGTGAGTGAATGCTGAGATTACAAAAGAGTCACCTTGTAAGTCACCTTTCCACGTACAAAGCTAGATCTTAATCAAACGTTAATAGTTTACCTCCGTCTGGTAGGCATCATATAAGTATCCTATTCCACTTGTATAATACTGGCACCTTTTAGTATATAAAGGCCTAGGCTCCTAGAAGAAGGAAAAGAAAAAAATAAAGGAGAATTACAAAAATGTGCTTTAAGTTACCTTACAGGTGTATCCCTACACAGCTAAGCTCTGTTTTTTTTTTTAAAATAAAATCCATACACATTCCAGATAATTTTGAACGCTTGCCAACTATTTCCTCTCCAGCATGCATTGATTACTTGGAAATAAATTATAGAGTTGGTTCAATTTTGTCAGGAAATTCTATTTTTGGAAAAAATAATTATGCATATGACTAAACAGCAGTAGATCCTGCAATGGATCATGCATCACTGTTTGGAAGGTTATAGCAATACTTATTTGGATCAGATTTCACAAAATTTAGAAAACAATAGTTCTAAGATGACTGTTCTATGCCATACCTAATGGCATAATGAATTAGTTCACTACCCTTCTCCCATCAAAATCTGTTCCAGAACAATCTCCCAGATCTCTGGAGCAATTCTGAGGGTTCTTCAGCATAGGAGGTAGGAATTAAAAATCCTTCTCATTGGCAGAGTAGCATCGAAGAAGAGAAAGATGTCATGGGATCTGCCCTCAAGTTATTATTCTGGCACGTTTGGTGGTTTGTAATGTTCCCCTAAGCCTTTTGGGGATCTAATTATTTAGTCCAAAAAATAATAATAATAATAACACTGGCAATGATGTAGTTTCAGATACACTGGTGATTCTAATCCCGGCACCTAAAATAAGGTACTAAAATGAGAAGGACAAGGAATTGACCATTCAATTCATAAATCTTGTATGACTTCTCTTCCGATGTTTTATTTTATTTTGCAATTAGATGATGTGACTGAAAGGATCAAATTAAAGTAGTATCCACAAGGGCAGTTTTACAAGCTATTTTAATCCATGTGCATAAGATAGCATCTCTTATGCTATCACATCAAGGAAAATTTTAAATTATGTAGAAACTATCAAAGCAGATAAAAGAACAAAGGGTCAGTTTCTGCTTTTGGCCTACAACGGAAAGATGACAAGCTCTCAGTGTTGCATGTTTACATTCTCAATCCCTGTTTCTGAGCAGACCAGCCTTCTCTATCATAGTGCCTTTCAACTCCCAAAATGTGATGAGGAATGAAGGATGTTGAATACACCTTGAGGGTAGCAAGCTGGGAAAATCTAGAGCACACTTAAATATCGTTATACTGAGTTACTTTGGAGAATCTGATCTTCTGAACTGATGTGGATCCCTTTTGGCCTTGGAGAATTGTGGAAGACTAATCAAGTATGTTAGAAACCTATGATGTATTGAGACTCAAATCTAGAGTCAACGTGAAAGATGTCAATAACAGAAAACAGGTAACAATACCAGATGTAATTCTGTCTCAGCTGTTTTTATTAGACTGCTATTATGGCTTAGAATCTTGAGCAGGACATTTAAAATGTTTACATACTCAAAATATAAAGCTACAGCAATTATAAAACAAGCCAGATAAAAGTGAGATAAACTTAGCCCCAGCATGTATGAAAGCCAAACATTGTTAAAATGCTTGATTATCAATATCCATTATTTCAGTTATTCTATTTCATTGTTGCTTGATAGATTTTGGTTTTTGAATTAGGAAATTTCTTAAGATTGAAAGAAAAGATATAATTATATGTTAAGTAAGGATAAATATCTTTATGTTGTTGAATGGAGTAAGGCTTGCCAAGAAATAAAACCTGACATGGCCATTGTTTTTATGGCTCAAACAGGAGTTGGTTCAGTTCAGAGTTTCTGAGTGACAACTAAACTTCACTCCAGATTCTTTGGAAGAATCCTTGTGTAGTTTCCATGAACATTTTTAATTGGGGAAAAAAATGTGGATGTGAGTGTGAGTGTGAGTGGTGTGTATAACTGGGTCATACTTAAATACAAAGCAGCTTTTTTTTTTTTTTTACAAAGTGATCCTTTCAGATATCAAATAGATAAATAGGTTGTTTTGTGGCTTTAAGAACACTGAGAGCTTTATAACAGGAAGACCATAATTTTCATGTGGTTTGGTGGAAAACTTCCAAGAATATGATATTAGGCATTTCCCTTGTAGGAGAGAGATGCAGGTGTCCAGAAGGTACAAAGAAATGGTTCTCAGGTTTGAAGAAATGAAGAAACGGGATATGATTAGAATATATGGAAGTGAATCCAATATGGCATTAACCATATTGTGTGTAGTTATGCAAGAAGCATGATGTAGATCACAGAGTAAATTCAAACTTAAAGATAAAAATAGATATACTCTACTAGAGCCACAACGGGTGCTGGAAGTGAAATTGATTTACAGCACCAAGAACTAAGACTCTCCTCGCCCATAAAGCACTTTCTGTCCTACTTTTCAAACCACATTATGCTTTTGAGACGTACTACAGGCACTCTCACATGACAGGTGTGGTCAGTCACAAACGTAGTGTTCCAGAAGGCAAATAAGTGAAGTTACTCCTTACTACCCTCTTCGACTCACTTCTGTCCCTTTTTCTTGGTAAATTCACACCCTTCCAAAGAGGACACTGACTGAACCCCCTGCTACTTCTATTTTCTAAGAATGCCTTCTTGGTATACGCTGAGTCCAGAAGCATTTTTTTGAAATAAAGACTGAAGCTGACACTTTGCTTTGCAGCACGCTTGTCAATTTCCCAAAATCAGGTGGGATGTGGAATCTAGATCTGCTTGGACACAGTGGCCCTAGCAAATTATATTGGGAAGCAGCTAATATGGGGTATTGGGGGGTCATAAAAGTCAAAATGGCAGGTACAACTGTGTGATTGAAGCCCCACCCCTTTTCACATGGGTCACATGCACATAAAAAGAGGCAGGGCTTCAACTGTACCATCACACCTGCCATCCTGACCTTCTCACACCACTTGTAGACACTCCTAAGGCAATAACTTTGTTTGAATTTGTTCAGTTTCCTCTAAAGGATCAGACAGATGCCAGCAAACATGCTTTTTATGAAAGAGTATTTATTTGTTCTGGATCTCTCCCCATTGATTTCACTGGATTATTGGGGAAATTTTCTCCCTATTAAGTTTTCCACAGAATACATAACTACATATTTATCTCTCTTTTATTTGATTTGCTATTACATTAAAAACATCACATATAACTTTCTTCAGATGATAGTGCCTTCAACCCTTTGATCATAATTTTTTCAAAAATCAGTTAACAAAGTATAAAATATTAATACATATGATTAAACTGGGTACAATTAACATTCCCTCTATTATAGCTTGAAAGGATTCTGCTGAAGGCAATTACTGACATCTTTTCAAAACGAAATTTGATCCCCCTAATTCATCATAACAGTTTCCAGAGATTTACCTTTGTTAGTTGTAGCAAAGAGAATAGTAGCTTGAGGCATCTTTATATCTATCAGATATATTATATGTTTTCATAATAAATTTGTTAAAGGTCAACAATAGTCCTCACTGGCTTCAGTCCCTGGCTTAATTAACATGCTTTGCAGCTTCTCCAGCTCTACAATGTCCTATCTGAGGTCTATTGATCAGAACTCTTCACAGCGGTATAAATTAAACCGCATCACCAATACGTCTGAAAAGGCATTATAATGTTGATATCATCCGCTCCCATTTCTTAATGGGAGAGACACAATTGAAACAATCAACTATTTACCTTGCATCATCAATAATTGAAAGCACTCCAAATACAAGATATATGGTTAAGATAATCAGTTTCATCCTTCTTGAAGTGGCAGTAGATACACAGCTTTTCTTCTCACTAACCACTAAGCTAAATATGTCTGCATCTGATGGAGTGCTGCCTCCCAAGCAACTTTCAAAGGCTTGGGACATGTATGGAATAACAAGGGTAGCTTCCATCCAACAGGTCTCCTTTAAGAACTGGCCATAAATCCTCCCTCTCACCAGCAGCTAAGAAACTCTTCAGTGGGTGATGCTTGGAAGCTGCTCGTTGTCGAGGGAAGCTGAGTTGATGTTTGGTGTTTGACTGACTATTCCTCTGCCTTTTGGAGGTTTATGATTCTTCCCCTTAGTAATTGTTTTTTTAGCAGCTCTG